CCTCCTCCCCCTCCTCCACCACCACCTCCTCCTCCTCCTCTCAGCAGAGGAAAATGTTGGACCAGAGGTGTTTCCATGGAGTCAAGTTTCAGTCAAAACAAACACAAGAAGCAAATTAGCTTGAAGCTAATTGCTCTTCATCACTGCCTGCTCCTCCTCTTCCTCAGACTTCCTGCAGACCTCCTCCTGATCAGCTGACCTCCAAACAGGACTTCAGTTCTACAACTAAAGGTTTTCATGAATTTGAGTCATTTCAGAACAAAGTTTGAATGATGAAAAGTTAAAAACGTTAAACTCTTGTTTATAAAGCAGAACCATTTTTCTCCTCCAGACAAACATAAAGCAGGAGACAAACAGGCAGTTTGTGTAAAGCTGAAGTGTTTTTACATCCTGTTCATGTGTAAACACCAGCAGAGAGCTCTCAGCATCCATTTGTTGTCGTCTGAGAGCTTTTTAACACACTCAGATTAGGTGTGTGTCTGTGTGTGTGTCTGTGTGTGTGTCTGTGTGTGTGTGTGTGCTTCCTTTGCGTTGTACTGCCATCATGTGGAGCAGCAGTGGGAATCTTCCCTTATCAGATCTGCTGCACAAAAAAGCTCCTCAACCAGCTGATCTCTCCTCAAAAACCAGTTGAAACCTGTTCGTTCTGTAAATCTACACACCACTCAAATCACCAGTGGTCAGGGATGCTGTCAGGCTGAAGAAGGAGTCCTGTCAGGTGGTTCGCCACCAACACTGTTTATGGTGAGGATGGTGTGCTGCTGACCTCAACTCAGGACGTTGTGGGTCGGTGGGCAGAATATTTTGAAGACATCCTTAATCCCTCCGACACGTCTTCCCATGAGGAAGCAGAGCCTGAGGACCCTGGGTCGGACTCTCCAGTCTCTGGTGCCGAGGTCACTGAGGTGGTTAAGAAGCTCCTCGGTGGCAGGGCGCCGGGGGTGGATGAGCTTCACCCGGAGTTCCTTAAGGCTCTGGATGTTGTGGGGTTGTGTTGGTTGAGGCGACTCTACAATATTGCGTGGACATCGGGGGGCAGTTCCCCTGGATTGGCAGACTGGGGTGGTGGTCCCCCTATTTAAAAAGGGGGACCACAGAGAATGTTCCAACTATAGGGGGGTCACACTTCTGAGCCTCCCTGGTAAGGTTTATTCAGGGGTCCTGGAGAGGAGGGTCCGTCGGATAGTCGAATCTCTGATTCAGGAAGAGCAGTGTGTGGTTTTGGTCCTGGTTGTGGAACACTGGACCAGCTCTACACCCTCAGCAGGGTCCTGGAGGGTGCATGGGAGTTCAACCAGTCTACATGTGTTTTGTGGACTTGGAGAAGACGTTTGACCGTGTCCCTCGGGGACTCCTGTGGGGGGGAGGGGGGACTCCAGGAGTATGGGGTACCAGGCCCATTGAAAGGGTCTGTTAGGTCCCTGTAGGACCGGTGCCAAAGGTTGGTCCGCATTGCCGGTAGTAAGTCGGACTCGTTTCCGGTGAGAGTTGGACTCCGTCATGGTTGTCCTTTGTCACYGATTCTGTTCATAACTTTTATGGACAGAATTTCTGGGAGCAGACAAGGTGTTGAGGGGATCCTTTTTAGTGACCTTAGGATCACATCTCTGCTTTTTGTGGATGATGTGGTCCTGTTGGCTTCATCAGATCCTGATCTCCAGCTCTCATTGGAGCTGTTCACA